TCCTTTCCCTGGTACTATTTGGTTCCCTCTTCATGACAGCATCTTTGAGGTCACCAGAAAACTGCCTGTAGCAATTTCCATTTGCACCAAGGTGAGGGACCCTGGTGCCCTCTGTTTTCTGGGAAATGTTTCCCAATCAGAGAATCAGAAGACACACCAGAAAGGTCATTAGGAGGAATTAGTAGGTCCCGAGATGCTGGGTGCGCAAGGATGTGTCCCCACACTTGCAGCACAGTGGCAAGCAGCAATGAGAGCTGCTAGCCCATGCTGGGAACAGCCAACTGGTGGGCATGGGCTTTAAAACACAAATATGCTCAGGTTAATTATTCAATGTGGAGGAAGGAAAGGAAGAAAAGTGAAGAAGGAGAGAGTTCTCACAGCCATGGGGCACTGTGAGAACAGCATCACCCCTCATTGCCCACCCAAGCATGTCCATCCGTGGAGGCAGTGGGGAAGCACAACCGTGCCCAGCTCCGGGATGCACAGGCACAGGCAGTATTACAACACAGCATGAGGATACTGCTGGCTATGCCTGCTGAGCTAAGAAACCCCTTGAAATAAGGCAAACAGCTGAGATAGTCTTGTCTGTGCTTGTGCCATCTTTCACCCGCAAAAGCAGGAGCAGATTTGGCATGGCCCAACTCACCGCTACACCCTCTGCACCTCACTCTTTTGGGGAGGTGAAATCACAGCTCTGAAGCATAGGTTTGCTTAGGAGCAAGGCAATGGAGGGAAGAAACTGTTAGCTGTCATGCAGGGAGGTAAAAATGCCCCCTGCCAAATGCCTATTTTAAAAAGAGCGCTGCATATTGAAGAGCAGAGCATTGTGTTATTAAAACCACGGTGTCCAAAGGCACGTTCCCAACCTTCAAGTGCTTGACTCAGCAACTGTAATATTTGTGATGTGACTTCCTGAGGCTTTTTAAATGGCCAATAAATGCCTCTTCCCCAAACCCTAGAAAGCACCGTGGGCCCATGAGGGCCCATCAGCTGAAGCAGGCTCCACAGCTCCCACGCTGCCTCCCTTACACCTCATCTGCCATCAAATTCATCTTCCCTCCACCCCAGACTCCAGCCACAGCCCCAGACCTGCCCCTTCTCCACCCAGCCTCCCCATCATAAGCAGATTGGTCACTGCCTGTGGAGCAGTGGGCAGGGTTTAGGGGTCCACCACCTCTGCTCGTGGTATTTACCTTCATTGACATGTGCAGCAATATACTCATATGCACACAAGGAGGTGTGTGCATGTGTGCCTGTGCCAAGGGGCACCCATGGGTGCTGCTCTCAATTGCTGTGTCTGCCTGTACTCCCTGGGTAGCCCTGGGCTGGGGAAATGCATGTGCAGCCAAAGCACTGGCCAAAGCTCAGAGCTGGGGCCCTGACAGCTCCAAAGACTCTCACATTTCAGTGTGCTTTATTGCAAGCCTTTAATATGGGTGAGGTGTAAAACAAGCGAATACAAATCGAGTGAGGATAGGAGACCTGCATCTAGCACACAGATAAGCTTCATGCACACCAGCCAGGAATATTCATGTATGCTGCAGCGACCAGCCTGGCTGGGGCACAGGGCATCGCTGTACACAAAGGTTTGCTGTTATTATTTCTTATTTTCACCTTGGTGGCACTTCGCTGCTCAGCTGGGGATTGGCACCTTTTGCCCTATGATCTGTACATGCAGAGCAAGGAGCGCATCCCTCCTGCACAGCGCCATGGGGCCGCTTTGTGCTTTTGCTCTGTGAAGGTGAGCTCCTCTTTGGAGGAGGAATGCTAACAGTCTTGGCTGGCAAGAGTTAAACCCCATAAACCCAAGGCTTGTAGTTTTGTTTTCTTTCAATTTATACCCTTCACTTAAAGAGGGGGAGAAAAAAAAGAAAGGAGGGGGAGAAAAAAGAAAGCCAGGTGACATATTCTAAGAGGGAGCACCGAAAACGTGTTAAGCACTTCAAAATCTCATATATTCAATCGGCCTCTGGCAAGACATCTGCCTAATGTTAGCGCTTAAATATCCTTTTCCATTTTACATGCATTCAAGTCTCATTTGAGCGAAATGAAACGGTATTATTAAAGGGAGATTTTGCACAAATGGCCTGAATTTGACATGTCAAGTTCAATGAGGCTGTTACATATGTAACACCGAGAAGGGCTCGGAGGCTGCCGGCTCTTGAAACAGCGCCAGTGGCTCAGAAATGAAATTTGCATTCAGAGAGCCTTGCCTCGCTGAGTGGAGCTGGGCATGGGGCTCGCTTGGACCCACACAGGGTGGAGGAGCTGTGGGGCGAGCACCAGCAGGTCTCTCCTGCTTTGGGACACTGGACACACCAAGAAGGCAGCAGAGATAGAAACTCAATCCCTCATTCACACTCAAGTCTGCTTTTTCAAGGGAAATCTTGACCCTGCACCAGGGTTGGATCCTTCTGAGTGATGTCCATCACTGGTCCAGTGGCCAGCGGCCATCCCCAGGGCATGTGCAGCACCTTGGCATGGGTGGGTGCTGCCCTGTGGCTCAGCACGGCTCCTGCTGCCTCGTTGTGTGATGCTCCAGCTGGGTTGACCTTGAGATGTCCCTGCCCCGAGCCAGGATGTTCACACCAGCTCTGCTCTTGGGGGTGAAACGCTGTCCCTGTCCCTGTGAGATAGCAAACACCAATCCCACCAGCTGAGCAAGGAGTCACTGGTGTGGGTGGGTTGCAACCCCAGGCTGTTGGTGAGCTGCGACCATGGGGAAGCATCATCCAGGTGGCTCCTACAGCTCCCTTGTGTCCCAACCCCCAAAAGATCCTGTGATGACCTGGAGGAATCCCTTTTCCTCCTTGCCTTCTTCTGTGCTCCTCTGAGCAATGCGGAGCTCCCCACTCTGGCGATGCCCAAAAGCCCCTGGTGAGTGATCAATACCCAACAGAGTCAATGGCATGGGGCAGCTCCTTCACCAGCCTCTCCCCTCTTGGTCTGGCCTTTTGGCAGCATCTCATCTGGCTCACCCACCACACAGCTCCTTGGCCACGCTGCATTGGGTGAAATCCCAGCACACAGAGAGCCCCGGTGCCATGGCAGGAGCTGCTGTGTCACCCATCATGTCCCTGGTACTGCAGGCTCAGCAGGCAGGAAGGGATCTGCCTTCCTAACCCCAAGCGCTGGAAATTTATGATTTTGTTGCAAATCATTAAGGTTTATTAAAACTTAACAGCACGAGCCATGATTGGCTGCATCCTCTTTAAATTAAGAAAAATAAAAGGCCCTTGGAAAGCAGCCCCCCGTTCCCTTCTCCCCATCACACTGATAAGTAACAGCTGCTCAGCCATTTCCCTAACAAGTCGGTATTGGCAGGGAGCGGCCAGGGCTGCCGGTGCCCGTCATGTTTATAGGCCTACATTTTATTTTTATGTTTATTGGGTTATTTGAGACCATTATTAGTTTCTCTCTCCTCTTGTTGATGTGTTCTTGCTCCCGGCTCCTCCAGCCAGGAAGGGTGGGGGGAATGGGAGATGGGGCCACCCGCTGGGTCAGGCCGCCCCACTAGAGTTAGGCAGCACATAGGACCTCGACCTGCTCACATCCCGCTGCCCACTATTGCTGCCCACCCTGCCTGCTGCTGCCTGCTGGCCCCCATCAGGGCTGGTAGGGACCATCCCTGTGCAGAGCTGCTGTGTTACAGATTAGCCTCCATTGCCTGAATCCATCGACTAGATTGAACGTTATCTATCACACTATGGAGGGAGTCGTTATTTAATAATTAATAAAGACCTCTGATTCTTCTTCACCGCCTGCGTGGCCGAGCAGAGCGGGCCGGGGAAGCGAGGGCAAGCTGGGGAGAGCTGTCTCCTCTCTAACTGCTGCTGTTATTTAAAGGAATAATGCCATTCTTTTTCATTTGTCAGCTGGCCCACAATGGCCCTTGTCATGCTTTATGATTTAGGGTTTCCTTTCCTCTCCCATTAAACGCCACCTTCCCATCACCACCTCGCGCCAGCCAGCCTCCGCTCCTGGCTTGCGGTTTCAGTTTCACTCTGATATTGGCCCAACTTCTTTGATGGGCTCCTGCGAGCACTAATTGCTTCTGTTCATTTAAACCTGTTCACTAATTTGCAGTGGCCCTTTATTAAGTTGGATGCAGCCCAAATTACACTATAAATTATGCTCGCAGGAGGACTGGGTGTCACGGGGGATAAATGCGCTGCCTGTTCCCCACAGCCCCCCCACCTTCTCCATCTTCCCGTGCAATGCCTGCAATGGGGATACAGGTCTCAGCCTGAGGCTGTGGGTGCTGGATTTGGGAGATCTCAGCCAGTACCCATTTGGAGAGGTCTCTCTTTCTAAAGCTCCCTTCTTCTCCTTTCATCTGCAATGGCTATTGTTGAGTTGAAATGAAGACCCAAGCCAGGCAGGGGTGGGTTCTACATCCTCCGCACTATGCACAGCCACATGCACCCCCTTGCCCTGGCACACACATACACACTGACGCACGCACTCTCCCTCCTCTCCTACCACCTGGTGATGTAACTTTGCTTCTAGTCGGCAGTTTGATTCCTTTCCTCACCTTTTAATGATTGGGGAATTCATTAATAATTGAAATAAACACGTTCTTTTCCAAGGCTTCTGACTTTTATGGAGTCAGGGCCAGGGATCTGCCAACCCTTGGCTGTAGCCGTTTCCTAAATAACTGCTAGCACTTAGAATGCAATTATTATTTTAAACAGGGGACTTTGCTGTGCTGGGGAAAGCTGAAGGGAGCTGCAGGCAGCTGAGGGGCAGTGCTCACCATTGCTGCAGGCCTGCTCCATCACAGGATGTTAGCGACGTGATGTCCGCAGGGAAATGGGTGTCTGTACCCATTTCTACCAGGCTTTACCGCTGCAGTGAACTCCAGGGAAATGTTTCTGCCCCACTGGCTAGCATTAAATCTCCCGTATCTGGTAGCTGTGAGTGCCATCATCTCCTCTGCCATCCACAGCTACCCTGGCTTGCTAAGCAGGGATGCTGGTGGACCCAAGGGAGCTGCTTACCTGATGTTCAGCTGGGTGAGCTTTTCCAGTTCCTGCTCCATGTGCTCCTGCAACTCCCCAGGGCGAAGGAGGACCTGGCAGATGGGGCAGATCGGAGCCTGGCTGTCAAACAAGGTTGCTTTCTTTTTGCCTGCGGGAAGGAAAAGAAGGAAGAAAGCTTTAGCTCTGATCGGCTGCCGTCAGGACCGCCTGCACTCTGCCCTGGTCTCTGTCCTAGCCAAGGTCTGAAACCAGGGAATTTTCTCCAGGTATAGGCCGGTTTTTCTCCCTGTCCCATGCTCCCTCGGTCAGGGACTAGCTCTGTTCTGCAGCAGGACAGCAAGTGGCATGAGAGCATCCCATCTCCAGCTATGGGCTCTCCAGTCTTACTTGGAGAGCAGCAAGAGCCACATTTTGGGAGTGACGCTATGCAACCCTGGCTTTCCCAGTTTGCAGTGCAAGGCGGTATGACACAGCACTGCCCCCTGATCCGAAGAACAAATAACAGCAAGTCAAGAAGAGCTGTCTTCATCCTCCTCAGCACTCCTGAAGTCAGGTGGATCAGGATGACCCCTTCAAAGGGCAGAGTGATTCCCCATGGGCCCACATGGTTGGGAGGCAGAGGAGACCCTGCAGTGCCAGGCTGTGGATAGCAGGAAGCAGGTCTGGATGCTCAGCATGGCTGTCCCTGTGGTCACTGGGACCAGGCTCACCTTGTTTCTGGACTGGGGTGGTGTCCCTTGCCCTTTCCTCACCACCAGCAGCTCTGGACCCTTCATCTGCTTGAGCCCCAGGACCCTGGGGCTGCATTGTTCCTAGGTGAGATGCCTGTGGTCTCCAGTCCCAAGCCCCTGGGGCCACCTGGAAGCAGTATGCAGCCTCACACCCTCCTCTCCAAAAATCCTTCCTGCTGTTCCCCTCCCCAACCACATCTCCTTGGTTCAATCCCTTCTCCGAAGCCAATTTCCTCCAGCTCAGAAACTTTATTGCCCCCTCTGTAAGGCATATACAGCATCTATTTAACATGAAATAAAACTCTAAAGCAAACAATGAAGTTTCAATAAAACAGAGGAGCCTGCGGGTCTCCAGGCCCCCCTCTCCCAGCTGTATTAGCAGCTCTGCTCATGAGAGGGCGTGCGGAGCCTGGTTCAGATGGCTCTGGAGGGAGAAACATGCTTTATAGCTGCCTGTTGTCATCCAACGTGAACCCTCCTGCTGGATTATTTATTTATGTATTAGACATGGATCAAATTGGTTAAATCCGACTGAGAGGCAGTAATGCACAATAAAGCAGCCGGCACTGGATACGAGGGGGCTGCGTGCACCATGGCCTTCCAATCAGGAGCCAAAAGGTGCCATTTTATGGCTCCTAACGATGGCAGAGCCCAGTTAAATGAATCCCCATTAAAGGAATAGACCTTCTCAAAGTATAAAACATTGGTGTGAGTGGCTTTACTGGGTCCTGCTGCTCACTGTGTAACCGCCTGGCGCAGGCATTTAATGAGAGGAAGGGTCTGAAATAAGTTTGAGGGTCACCTTAGCTCATCCTTGACTTCCAGCAGGACACAGTACGTGCCTGGCAGGAGAGGGGCTATTGGCGAGGTGTTACCTGCCCTTTTTTTCAGCCTCCTTATAGAAGAGGTTGGAAACTGAGGCATGAGGGACAAGTAGGGGCAGGCCACTGCCATGTGGCATCCTCCACCTCCCTATTCTCCATCCACTGGGAACTCTTCCATTTGCAGAGGAAAACGCAAGTGGTCTCTCCACTGGATGTGAGCTGCTCCTGATGGCTCCTGGGCAGACCTCAGGCACCTCAGCTCCTCATCCCTACCACCTTTCTGCCAGGGAGGACACAGAATGAATTCCATGCAACTGGGACACCTTCCTTTCTCCTCCTTCCCTTGTGTTTAAATAATGCCCAGAACCCAACCCAAACAGCCAGCTCCTGCTGACCCTTGCGGGAAAGGTCGGCATTTCAGTAATTCCACCTTCCTCTTGGAGCTTTTCCACTTTTGTATAGTGGGGGCCCAAAATAACCCCAGAGCATCCCCGACCACCTGCTATTTATAACCCCAACTTCACAGCAAAACAATGGAACTGTCTGAGTCTCCCTCCCAAAATAAACAGGCAGCCTTTGAGCAGACGGGAAATCCTGCTGGATCCCCGCTGTGGGGTGTGCAGATGGATGGGTAAACAGGCTGCCCTCCGCCCTACCGCACCGCATCCCTGATCCCAGACCAGGCCACCGCCGTGGGGCCCGTGAGCCCCTCGCCTGCCACCCACAGCTTGGGATGGTGGGGCAGGGATGCTCTCAGCAGCACCAGAGGGTGAACTGAAGGTTGAGCATCTCCAGGTCTCTGCTCTCTAGGGAGGGGATGGCAGTGTCCTGGACCCCATTGCTGGGATGGACAGCCTTAGACCAGCAGGCGCAGATGGGGTCCCTCTTGGGGACCAGGTCAGTTCCAACAGGCTGGTGCCTTTTTCAACCTCCTGCACACCCAGGTTCTCACCCCCTGGTTGTTCTTTGGGGCTTTTCCATGGGCTGCATGCTTCTAAGCAGAGGTGACTCTGGATTTCAGTGGGTAGAGATCTCAGGTCATAGGAAGGAGCTTTGCTGCCTTCCATGGCCACTCCCAACCTCAGCCTGGGACAGCAGAAGAAATGAGCAGCAATGGCCTTACCCACTGACTACATCAATGATATGGTGACCAATTTCTGCCAAGGAAGGACATGACAGCTGTCACCCCACATCGCTGCGACAGTCAGGGACAATCCCCTGATCCAATGAGTGCAGGAGGCTGGTGCTTGCACTGGAGTAAGGGCTTCCAGAGAGGCAGGAGAACAGGGACCTGGACATGCAGCCAAGTCCCTGATGTACAGATTGCAAAGCAGGAGGCAGAAGGAGCCTAGCTCCTGGCCCAAGGGGCTGACAACCGCGCTTTTGCAGGAGCAAGGCTAAGTGCAAGTGACAGTCAGAAGGGGGGGATCATATCCAGAGCCACAGGGACACCTATGCAACTCTCCTGAGGTCCATGAAACCTGCTGCATCCTGCAGTGCCACAGAGGCTGCCAGCGGGATGTGTCTCCCCAAATCAGCAGCATCCTCATCCGCAGCGTGCCCCAAAGCCTGGCACATCCCACACTGTGGTATCTCTCACTGGGCAGTGGTACCCAGCTCTGCAGTGTGGGGTGCTAGGAGAGGGAGAGGATGCACATTGCAAGTCCCTGGCTTTTGTTCTTGAATGCAAAGGTGAAGTGAGATGCATACATCCCTCTTCTCCAGAGCAGGGACATCCTGGTATCACTAACAAGCAAAGGATGCTGCACTCTGTGTGGCTGGACCGTGCTGGGGTGTAGATGCTTACCCTGCTCGGGGCAGCAGGCAGCTTTGATTTGCCCAGGGTCCATATCCTTGAGTGGGCTGGACCGGAGCCTGCTCCAGCAGTGAACACTGCTGCCCTGTGCCAAACTCGCTCCTGGGAGACCCTGAATGGCTCTTTTCAGGCTTTTGTTTTTTGGCAGCTGTGTTTTTGTTTTCTTTGCCCCTCTCTCTCTCTTTGCTTTCTGGTTACTCGGTAGGCTCCACTCCAGTGTTTACCCTCCTCGGCTCTGCTTGCTTCCCCCGCTGCCGACCCCCTGCTCACCAGTGCCAGAGAGATGAAAAGGCAGAGCTGTGGTGCTCCTGCTGTTTGCACCATCTCCTGGGCTCTGCGGAAATGTTTAACTCCAAGTGTTGAAATCCAATATTTCCTGCTCTGAAAGCGGAGGGCTCGATGCGCAGACACCCCTGCATGGGAGAATTTGTCCAAGGGCTCCTTTGGAGGGTGTCTGCAAACAGATCCCAGTTCAGAGGGGGACTGAAGTGAACCCGTCTGACCCAGCTGGGGATCCAGGGCCAGATCCTGACCTCAATTACACTGCCATGGATCCAAAATAATTCTCCTGAGTCCTCTGAGTCAGGCTGGATTCATTGCAAAGCGACTGCTAATGGGACCTGGGCTCCAGGCTGGAAGCTGGGTTCAGGTACCAGGAATGCAAGCATGGCACTCGGTAGGTGTGAAGGCATGAAGACATTCCCACCTCTGTGCCCTGGAATGGAGAGCTGTCAGCACTGCGAGGCATTTGCAGGCCAGAGCCAGGTCATTTGTAAGGGAAAGCTAACCCTTCACAAGCCATTCTGCTGTTTTGGAGAGTATTTAAGTGAGGAAAAAAGGGACCCAGCCCACAAACAGCTGCGACAGCGTGTGATGTATACAGCTCCTCCTCACTACGCAGCACAGAACAAATGATGCTCCCAAGTCACTCTGAATGAGCGAAGTTTACAGGCATGAGGCCCAGAGCTCAGCAAGTTGCCAAATGAGTGAAATAAATTGTTTATTTCAGTTGCTCAGCTCTGCTGATGGCTTCTTCCCCAGCCAGGTGCCTCCTCAGGGACTGCCACCCCAGTGGCACAGGCGGTGGCAGCAGGTAGAGAGCATAGATGGGACCACGTTCCACTGCTGGGGATGCATTTGCCCTTTCCTAAGAGCCCTTTGCTGGGCAGACCTCAGCACATCTGCCCAGGCTTCAGGTCATCTCCTCACACTGTCCTTCCTCACGGCCATCTCAAACTTGCCCCTGGAGGACCAGCTCTTCTTTCCCGACTCTTTGATTTCTCCTATCTCAAACTGTTTTCCACTTGTCTGAGTACCAAACTGCCCCTCCTCCGAGATGCCTCCCTCCATCTCACCCTCCTATTTCCTCTCTCTCCCTCTTAAACACTCCATCATTTAAACCCAATCAAAGCCAGTTGATCTGAGACTCTTCTGAAGAGAAATGACCCCATGCTGGGGCCCCGCACACCGCTTTGGGGCCGTGCTGAAACCAGGTGGGTGGTAATGGAAGTGCTGACACAGGCTCCTTGACAGCATCGCCACTGCCAGCGCCTGTAATAATCCCTCCCGGCTCCTCTGCAACTCGGTTTCTGCAGCGATTATTTTCCATTCGATGATGGGCTTGCTGTTATTTGTGTACTGATAGCAGATATCTCGTGTGACAAGCCTCTTTTCCTTCCAGCTCAAAAAACAATAATTCAAAGAAAGCCCCATATTAGCTTGGAAATAGCCAAACACTCGCTATTCTCCTGGCAATCCTGCGCTGCAGCTGACGGGG